TGAGGGTCTCGCAGAGCTTGTGCAGGGAGGGCTTCATGGGAGCCGGGGGGTGTGCGGGCTGTTGGGGGGTCAGGGGCAGCACCAGGCTCTCGTGAGCCCCCCTGGCCTTCCTTGGGAAGCAGAAAGCTGCCCTGAGGGCAGTGACCCAGCCAGGCCCTTGGCTGTGACGGCACCGGCCAGGGCAGAGGGGGACCCCGGGGACACGGGGCTGCTCCTGCCCTCGGGGAGGGCAGTGCCCGGCTGAAGGTGGCTCTGAAATAGCTCTGAGTCACCTAAAGGGATCCCGGAGTTCACGGGACTGTAGGTGAGAAAGTAAGTTCTTAAGTTTGTGCTAACAAGTAGTGTCTGTGCTAGGCCGGGCTGCAGCGCTGGCTGCTCGCTGTTAGGTTTTGTGGTCTCACGCTTTGTATAATCCCCAGGACTTACAGGTTTCAGAGCCACTGGCTGCTCTTTTTCATTTTCTATTGATAGATTGAGAGAGAAGAATAGGGTATTGTTTTTTTTTTTTTTTTCTCTTGTCTCCCAGTTGAATTTCAGTAAACTGAAAATTGCCGTCTTCATTTTAAAATAAGCTAAAGGTAAAAAGTCTCTGCCTCTTTTTTTTTTTTTGCAGGATAATTGCAGTTCTTTCCTAGGGGTTAGGCATGATTTGACTGGCTCACTTGTTTGAACACTTTAAAGGGTAATGAGGAAGCTAATGATCCTTGGGCCAGTGCACGTGCACTTCACTTGTTATAGATCAGAAAGTATAGCTAAATTTTTTGCTTTCCCTTGTGAGAGAGAGAATTGTCATTTGGTGACATGGCGTAGAGGAAAGGTCATTGAAAAGAACAGCTGGAAGAATTAGAAAGTGAAACTGATGTGATGGTGAAAACATTCTCAAGTTCAATTTTATCGTTTCATTTTGGATAGAAGAGGCTCATCTGTGTTGAGAGCTCCTGACAGAATTTTTTTCTGCTCCACAAATTACTTGCCTGCAGGTTTGCTATAGGCAAGGAAGGCTGCTAACGTAGTTGTTTTCATTTGTCTTAATAAAACAAGGGCTTTATTTTTAATTATTATTCCGTGGCAGCAGTAGTAATTGCCACACAGATGCCCTTCTACTGTTAAAAGGCAAAGTAGGTAATTTTCAAAATTCTGAGTAAAGCTATCACAGTTTTTGTTAGGGACTTAATGAAGAAGGGGAAAAAGAAAGAGTTCTGTCCTACTTGTTTTCATCTTAGGTACTGAGGTTGCAGGGTGCACTATGATAATAAATTATTATTGTGTCTGGAGGTAGGTCAGTCACAGACCGAAATCCTGCTCTGTCTGTTGTTCAAGTCAAGAGGTGTGTAAAGGGGAAGCTGCACAGTTCCCTTTTCCCACCTGTGGTTAGGAAAGCTGCCCTGGAAGGTGCTACCGGGAGAAAGAAGTTGGGAGACTAGAGACTCCCTAACTCCTGAGGAAATTTGCTTGTACCCGCTCCATTTTAAAATTTGGAAAGAATTGCATGATCCTGACAGATCCTAAGCAGAGTATTAGCTTGTTGTCAAGATTTTGTAAGTGTTACAGCAGTATTTTTCAAGGTGGACAGTGAAATTTTAGGTTCCTTCATGCTAAGGGAAAGCTTTCCTCAAGTGGAGGAACAAAAAGGCACACGCGTGCGCGCGCACACACACACTCACACTCACTCTGTTCTCTTTATTCTTTTTATTTTTGTAAGGTGATAACAGAGGAGAAATGTCATGGGCTGATCAGGGGGAACAGACGATCTTTCTCCTGCGTATCTCACGGAGTATTAAGAAAGCAGGGAGTTGTGCAAGGCTTTGAAAGAAGAGAAGACTTGGTATGGAGGAGGAGAGAAAGACTTGGAGAGAAAAGGTTACTGTGTCAGGGTAGCAAGCTAATAAAATGCTCTTCGCAGCTGTGTTCTCAATAGGGCAGAGTTGAGTGGGTTAGGGGGGTAAAGGCAACTACGGTAACTGAACTGCAAGTGAGGATGGAGCCTGCTTGAGGGTTCTGTGTCTGAGGGAAAGCTGCCTGGAAAACAGCTGGCTGCTTGGTTGAACAGGTATTCGGGTGTTGGGCCTGAAAGGTAGTGGAGCAGGTAATTCATGATATTTCAGAAAGGGAATTTTGAGGAGAGGATTAACATTTTAGCTATGGTGTACTTCGGGGAGAAGGGGACATGTGCCTAAATTAGACATCTCTGAACGATGACCTTAAAATCTACTTCTGTAAGCCCACTTAGCCAGCTCCCTCCTGGCCCGGTGAAGTTTCATTCCTCCATGTTTCTCTTTTTTGGCTTTTCTCTGACAGGTACTTTGTCAAGGTGGCTTGGGCCTGGACATTCTTGCTTCTGCTGCCCTTCATTGGCGTCACCACCTACCAGTTTGCCCGGAGCAAGTTCCTCTACGGTCCCACCAAGAGCGTTCTGATAGTGCTGCGGCGTCTCAGCGCGCTGCTGGTGGGCACGGCCGTCTGGTACGTGTGCACTGGCCTCTTCATGTATGTCGAGAATCTCACTGGCGTGTGCTCCGTCTCAGGGGAACGCCAGGAGCCTCGGATATTTCAGGGCACTGTTTTCTTCTCTCCTATTGTGCTCTGATGATTGTGGAGGAAATGTCTGTGCTGGAAGGCTTGTCTGTAGACCAGAACTCTAGGCTACGTGTTGTGATCAACAGCCTGTTTGTTGCCTTGTGTTTTCTAACCATGATTTGGGTGTTCATGTTTTTATGTACTGCTGTGTATTTTCATGACTTCAGCCAAAAGCTTCTCGGTGTACTGATAGGTCTGATGGCCTGGTATGGGACATACAGATTTTGGTATTTGAAACCTTTTTCTCCTGGACTACCTCTCCCGCATATTCCTTTGAGTTCAAAGAAATATGGTTATAGCAGATAAATATAGCTTTTAAAGTTTGGGGATTTTGTTTTGAATACTGACATAGTTGAATGTAGAAATGGTTACAGTATTTCCACTGTAAGGAACAAGGTGATGAGCTGGGGAAGAGAAAATCAAATCTCTACTAGCTTACCTTCACCAATTGACAAAGAGTAATGAGCTATTTCCTGGCAAGGGAAAAAAATATTTGGTGTTGCAAAAGCACTGCTCTTAGTTGGGAGTTAATGTCTGTGTTGCAGACACACTCCACAAAGAATCAGAAGTCAGGTTGTTTCTGTGGTCAAAAAATAGAAGAACAAATCCATGACTGGCAGGTTTTTTCTGTTAAAAGTTTAACTCGGGTTATTTCTTCCTCTTCCCTTTCAGTTTATTTTTGTGAAAACACCATGGCCGATCCTTCTCCCTATTTTTCAGTACTCCTACTTGTTTTGCCTTAGGGAAATCTCTCATGACAGTGCTGCCAAGTGTTGCAAAAGACAATTAACTACCAACAGTCACTTGGTAAAGCAGCATATAGCTCAGGTGTGACACCAGAACGTCTTGTATTACCAAGTGTTAAATATACTAACTTGGCATAAATAATACTTAGCTATATCTGTATTTTGAGGTAGAGGGAATGAATCTGAGATTTGGTTTTAGCTTTGGATTCATGCCTGCCTTTGAAAAGGAAACTCTTCGAAAAAACAAGTCCTTTATTTTTTTTCCTTTAATGAAATATTTGACATAATATTATCATTTTTACTCCTGGTACAAAACCTCAAAACTCTTCCCAGTTCTGGTATAGTATAAAAGAAAATTTAATCTCAGTTCTTGTATTAATCTTCTGAGTTGTGCACTTTGCAACCAAGAGTAGTGCCTGGTGTGTTTCTTCCCGAAGAACAACGAAATTCTGGTGTAGCGAACATGTTGGCTTAACCGCTTATTTCCTGAATATTCTGCTTGGTAATGAATGAGCTAAGAGCTGCAAAGCAATATGCTTAAAGCAGTATTTATTCTTACTTACCCAGCAGTATCAGTAAGCTACTTGAATTTTGATTGCACGTACAGCTGCGGCCACTTCTGATGTGGCTGGAAACACACTATTGAATAAAACACTACTATGGTGCAGTGAATTGGTATGAAATCGGATGTTTTTATAATTGTATCAAACAGTTTTTATCTTTATGAGCTTTTTATTATTTCATAAAAGATTATTCATGTTGCAATTGCACAAAATTTGTTTGATAGTTGTAGTGGTGAGCCAGACAACCAGAAGATTCTGCAGTGTCTGCAGACACTGACCATATTGTGGTCAGTGTCTATTAATTTGATAGCCGACCTGATCAGGCTGTAAAGTTTACTTCTAAGTTGATTATTTTAATGAATTTAGAGTATGATGTGTGCCATCCTATTATCCTTTTGCCATCTCAACAGCTCCTTTCCAGCGAGAGAGCAGGGGTATTTGTAGTAAATACTAATGTTAATTCCTTGTTTGTGGCCTGCCCCTGAGGAATGCTAACCTGCCTTGAATTTCCATTGAATTCAGCGGTGGGTGGGACTTGCAGTGCATCCTCAGAAAGTACAGATCATCTCACAGGGAGGGAAAAAAAAGCTGTTTCAGGACGTTCTATATTTTATAGTGAGTTCCTCTTTTTGCATTAAGCTGCCTTTAAGTTGCCTATGTGGAAAATGTGCACTGATATAACTCATATTGGGTTTAACTAAAATTGTGTTTAAACAATGCTGATTCCTTTGCAGACATTCTTTCTCGTTAAGCTAGACAGCAAGTCACTGTCAACCAGAAATAGTTTATAAATACAGAAGATGTTCTAAGTTCTCATCTTGGGTTATTTTATGTACCTTTGCTACATAGACAAGGCCTGTAAAAAGGAAGCGCTATTTATTTATTTAACCAGCAGGCTTGTAGAAGTTATCTTCATCTCTACAAATACGTTTTGTGCAATTACTATATAGATATTTCAGTCCACGTCTAACTAGTCTTATACAAATTATTTATCATTTGACCAGTGTTGGATATGGTTATTTGCACAACTTTGTTTAAACAACTAATTAAAGACACCTTTAATTTATCAGGGGTTATGGTTTTCAGAATCTTTTTCTGAAGTCCGTAAGGATAATATTGCAGCTGCTTGTCGTGCCCTGAGTGATCCAAGGTCTTGATTTTCTTGTCATTACTTAAGTACCTAATTGGCCTTCACTGAAAATTCTGCAGTATTTGAATAATATGGCACAAATTCTCAAAAGTAGAGGACATAAAACATGCCCAACAAAGATTTCTAATGTGTCCCTGTTTTGCCAGACAGTTGATTGTTCAGACCTGGGTTCTGTGTAACAAAACATTGAAATATGTTGAAAAAAAATCCTATGCACTGTAGGACGATTTTAAAGTTTGGAAAACTTGGCCTATATTTCTTTCTCGGTACCCAGAGATAACGTGCTAACTGCTAGCACGGAGCAGCTCCCCAGCCCCTGCACTTTTATTTGCACCTTTTGACTCAATTTCAGAGTAAGTCTCAGTTTCCTTCTGCTTTAACTGTTTCTCTGTTTGCACATGCCATCACTTATACCTGATTCACATTCTCCCCCCACTGCTAATGTACTTCTGTAATTAAAATAACAATGTGGCCTCTTATGGATTTTGCAACCTGCCCTTTCCCCTCCCCACCAAAAATAGTGGTGCTCCAAATAACTGGTTCTGATGCCTTCTGCTACAGGGACAGATCTTTTCTTCAGCTGTTAATAGTTATTGTTAATCTGTTTTAAGTGTTTAAAACAAATTGTTAATGTATTTTAAAGGTGAATGTTCACATTTTGTAATGGATTTCAAAAGAAAGTGACTGTAATCATGAGGAAAAAGTTGGTATTTTGGGGGCTTTCCTGAATTAAAGTTAATTTAGTAGAGCTTTTCTCTTGTTCCTGCAGAGATGTGTTGCCATGTCTGTAGAAGAACCTGCAGAGTTCTTCTGTCCAACATCTTAGAGCTGCGTTACTTATTTTAAAGTGTTTTCCTTTCTTTTTTCCTTGCACATATTGAAGTCTGTAGCTTATTTTGTGGGTTCTCTCTGACGGTGCTTTCACAGACATGGCCTGAGTGATGTGGGCGAGGGAGTTTTTGGTGCCTTAAACATTCTTCTCTGCCTGGGCCAGGAAGGAAGGGAGTCTCAACTGGAACGAAGCGAGGCTTTAGGATCTGTATCACTCTTACCTGAGAGCTTTTGAAAAATTTGCTTTCTTGGAGGTAAAATCGTGCAAACAGAGGTTTGGATTTTTATTAAGATCCATCTATTTAGGTAAAACAAAACAAAACAGTTGTGGTTTGGTGCTTCCTGGAAGTCTTTATTCTGTGAGGGCTTTGCTGGTGTTCATTAATCTTGAGAGCCCTGGGACAGGCTGCCCAGGTCGGTGGTGGAGGCTCCTTCTCTGGAGAGCTTCCAAACCCACCCGATGCCGCCCTGTGCTCTGGGGGTCCCTGCTGGAGCAGGGGTTGGACTAGGTGATCTCTGGAGGTCCCTTCCCACCTCAGCTGTTCTGTGATTCTGTGTGATTTGCCACTTTATTTGTGAATATTGAAATTTCGGTTGTGGGAGCAGCTGCAATAAAAGAATATTGTTTCCTGTACTGATGCATTACAACTGATGATAGCGAGAAATGCCCAGTTACGCCCTGTTGTGCATTTTAATTGGAAAAACTGCTGTGATGTGTTAAGTGTCCTCAAAAATCCGAGTCCTTGGTTCTGAACAACGTTCTGTGGGCTCTTTTCGCAGTGGAACGGTGCTGTTCTCCCACCGCCTTGCATCTTACAGCAGCTTTTCCTGCAGCTTCTCTGCAATCAGCCTTTTCCAGCTCTTAGCTTTGATCATCCCACGTTTATCTCTATTCGCTCAGAAACCTGCTTCCTCGGATTATTTCTTTTCATAGCTTCCTCTAACCTCGCGGAGCTTGGATTAGTAATAAATGCTCTTTATCTCTGTTAAATGCACTTTCTCTCTGTTTTCTTCCCCTTGAAGTATCTTGCCAAAACTTAAGATGAAAGCAACTAATACTAGCAGAAAAGGCTGTTGTGACTCTGAATTTATATATAGCCAGTATTAAAAGCAGTTGGGCGGTCACTGTAATAGTGTTTAATTGCCTGGAAAAAAAAAAAAAAGCATGTGTTTAATTTATTGAAGTAGAAGTAGATCTGATGCGCATGAAGTCATGGAAGGAAAGCAAAGGTAATGTGACAGTGCCAGTTTGTGCCCTGGAGGAGCTGGCCCTGTTGTTTCTCAGTGTAAGCACTGCGTCTTTTCATGAAGAGTAGTTTCACCCAAGTATTTATTAATTCCAGATTATTTATTAATATAATTAAGGGATAGCCTTATTGCTCTCTTACAACCATCTCCTCCATTGATAGTCATGATTTGAAGATTAAGAAATATCTAAAACGGTGCCATTTTTTTTTCTAAGTGTGTGGCCAGGCGTTCTGCTTACTGCTGTTCTGTAGAGACTGCATCATGAAATGGAAGGAAATCGTATTTCACAAGCAGAAACAGAGAGCAAGGGTTGCAGGAGAGTTGCAGTGCAGTGACATTGCCCCGTGATGCAAGGAGTTTGTGTAAAGCAGCTCTAAATTTTCCTGCAGATTGCTTGGTTCTGTGTCAAGAAGTGCCTGCAGCTTGTACACCCTCCAACCTGGTTACACTGTGTTCTCATTGCAAAGTAGCTTTATTTGGATAACTCCGGCAGAGCTAAAGAGGATTTAGGTCATGGGGAAGATGAAGTCCCGTTAGGATACGGGTGAACCAGGAAGCATTGAAAGTAGGGGGATGGATAATGTTGTATTTAAAGGGAGTTGTTTTTAAGTCATCCGCTGGTCTGTGCTGTTAATGCCTGTTTCAGCAAGACTGTCTCCCTTTTCCATTTTCTTTGTTCTCAGAAGGTGGGAATTCGGAGCGCTTTGTCCCTCGATGTGTTTCACAACCCGTGGGCTCCTGACAATAGAAGTAACTCTGTGAACATGCCCATGTATCCCCAGCTATCTCCTGCAGGAGACGGGAAATCAGAGAAGTCCAGGAAAAGAGAGGAAAGGGATAGAAAGAAAGGGGTAAGAAACAGGAGATTGGAAAGAGAGAAAGACAAAGCGGAGAGAGCCCTGTGAGCTCCCACGCTCCCAAGGGGTGGGTGGAGGTTGATCCTTGCTCATAATCCTGCTCATCACTGAAGTGACAGGCAGAAAGAAATAACCTGCTCTGGCAGCAGCACCCGCTTTGTGCACGAAGAACCCCGGGCTGCAGCGCAGCCTCTGCCTGTTGACTCTATCCTTGCAAGGATGCAAGCGTCCTTGAAATGTCTGCATCACTAGCAGTGTGTTCCAAAACAAACAAACAAGAAGTATTCCCCAGTGCTTTTGAGTTCTGATATGCCCTGTGTGATTTAAAATTTATTCTTTCTTTTGAAAACAGAGACAAATGCCCATCTTGCTGGGAATCTCTCTTCTGCCTCAACCTCAAGGCAAAATCCTGAGAACTACTGAAGTATTTCTTCTCATTCCCTGGGTTTCCTGGCCTTATAGCCCTATTAATCTTTCTTTCTACACCTGGTATGTGCAACAGCTCTTCGAAATCACTGAGGGAGGTGTGTGTAGGAAACTCAAAAGGCAAAAGAAAGGATGACAAGGGGAGCATTTCATGTCAATGTGTGACTATAGCTGCTGCTGGCATATTTAACATCAGCTATCGGACCTGATGGACCATGAGTTGTTTTCTGTGTAGAAAATGTATGTTCTTGTACCTTTCATATTGAACAAGGTAGGTAGTATTGGGAGACCTTGTCCGCCTTCTCAAAATGCACCCCAAAATCTTCTTCCACAGTAATTGGCAGCATGAAGCAAATCTGTCCCCAGGCTCGAGGGAGCCCGTGTCTGCAGCGAGCAGCCCGAGCAGTAGGTGCTTGGCCAGCAGGTTCTCCTGTGTGTCCCAGGGGCTCCCATGCAGCAGCGTGAAAACTGTGGGCCTCATTCCTGGGAGGTGACAAATGGCACCTTTGCAGCAACTCGAGCACTGCATAAATTTGTACGTTTTGCATTTCTCCAAGCCCTGTGTGCTCATCCTGTGTAATTCCGGCTGAATGCTCCCGGCTGCCAGCTTGGGTCGAGCACCAACGCTCCTGAGAAGCCCAGCAGCTCTCAAGTGCAGAAAGGTTTTTTTGAGTCAGGAACAGTGCAATTCCTGCCATGCTTGGTCTAAGCTCCCGTGCCTGGAGGGAGCTTGTTAGGAAGCCCTGGAGGCCCTGGACAGCAGCTGCAGGAGGTCCCGGCCGTGTCGTGAAACGGGAATGTGTAACTGCATCCAGGTGAGTTTACACCAGTGCAGTGCACGACAAACAGCACAAAGCACCTGCGCGTTGCTCTGCACGTGGGCATGCTTCGAAATAGGACTAAAAGGACGTTGAACACATTTAGAAATGTAAAGCAGTTACTCCTCCCATATGGTTTATTGAGGATCTCGGTTTTCAAAGCATGAGTAGCAGTGAGGCCCGTTATTTTTATCCAACATGCAAAAGGCACAAGAAAGTGATAAACGTGATTCTGTGCAAAGTGTCCCTAAGAAAATACACAGCGAGGAAATGACAGAAAAGAGCCTCCAATGGAAGAGAAAGCCAAAGTGTCTTCAGGAAGGTGCTGAAAAGTTCTGAAAATGGTTGTATTTTTTCAGAGTCCCAAGATGCTCAGTCGGTGAAAGATGCTTTGCAAATCCATGAAAGGAAACTCAAGGCAAAGAGCCATAAGGCTAAAACAATAGTGATAATCTTCTTCATGTGGTAGAATTCAGGATGGAAGTCAGAATGAATTATCTCAGGAGAAAAAAGTGCAGGATTTAGTTACAGACATAAAACCTTAAAATAAAAAATAAAATCATGCCACAACCAGATGTAGAAAGTAGATACACTCTAAGAGCAGCTCAATAAAAAATATTTCTTTAGTGAAAATAATAGAAAAATGGATAATTAAAGAACAAAATCCACCTTGACTGCGAGCAGCTACTGCACCCTGTCCCCATCGGCTGCGTCTTCCCCGCTCCCAGGAGAGGCCTCCGAGCACAGCAGTAGAACGGCTCTTAGAAGAAGGAAATCCTCCCTACTCGTATGAGTGAAATGGGCCAGGGAGGGATTTGAAAACATGAATATAGCGGCCCAAGGATCCAAGTTCAACTGCTTAGCGTGGGCATTGGGAGACTTCCCAGGGTTCCCGTATTTCCCACTGGAACTGCCTGTTTCTTGGTGGGCATGGGGAGCCCTGCGGCCCCGAGCACTGCGCACCCCTCTCGAGAGCTGAATACTTAAACCTAAAAAAGGCATTTACAAGTCAACACAATTTTGTTGTTGTTGTCTTATTTCCTTGCAGTATACGTTTCTACTTCTAGACTATGGAATGTTACATTAAACGATATAATTATTCATACCTTGCTTCAAATTTCATTACAGTTACTGTGGCTTCATCATAATTTCACACAGCACAGAGACACCAAACTAAACACCAAGCAGCCAGCGTTAGATGTATTTTTTCTTTAAATACCAGTAAGCAAAATATCCCATTCCCCCCAGAGATCCCATAAGGAAGGAGGCTCCAAAGAAGGAAGGAGGTTTTCGCTTGACCAGCCTGAAGGCATTGGGGACCACTGCTGAGAGGAGCGTGGTGTGTATATCTCCCAAAACTTTCCTGAAGGCAAAGCGTTTTTGTATCCTGTCAAAGAAGGACTGTAGGTTAGGTCTGCTGCCGTCTTCCCAGTATTTCTTAGAGAGTCCTAGAAACTTGAGGCGATGCAGGGTGGCTCCTAACAGGACGTCGGCCAAGGTAAAGACGCATCCACAGAGCCAGAGTTCACACTTCTGCCCTGGAGAACGAAAGTACAGAATAGGTAGGATGAGAATAAGCCCCTGGGTGGACACTTAAAGATTGCTAAAAGATCCACAGAAGCACAACAGTTTGGATCAGACCAGAGGTGTTTTTCCTTGGCTCTTGAGTATCCTAAGAAATCACAGCCCATGTGCCAAGCTATGGATGAGGGATGTGTGGGGCACAAGACCACGGGCATGAGGTGATCCCGGACACCCCACACAGAGATATGAGCCCTGTCTGCAGAATGGCAGGGAACCCAACTCCCCTGCTTGATGGGCTCTAGTAGCCTCACGGGCAGGTCCCACCTCGCCAGCTTGCCAGGAGGTCCCTGGAAAAGAGATGCTGGCTTCTCCTGGAGAAGGGCCTGCTGCAGTGATCACTTCTGCTCTGTGCCAGCGCTCAGGGGAGGAAAAGCATTTGTCCTTGGCTGCTGTGGGCATGTGGGGAGCTTTGGGAGCGTCACATTAACATGTCCTATTTTAGGGACGTGAGAAATCCTCGGGAAGCAAAGGCCTTCGCGGGGCACAAGGAGAGCGCGCAGAGCCGGCCCAGCTCGGCCGCAGGTCCTGCCTCCTTCCCAGGCCGCACCGTGCTCTGTGGGCAGGGAAGGAGCTGGATCCCGGGCCTGGAAAGCCCTGGGAGGGCAGAGAGGCAGCTTGGGAGTACCCTGGCCCAGGGCTGCCTGCCGAGGCGGCCAGAGCCCCGCGATTACCCTAATTACCAGCCTCGTTTGCAGCGCCTTGGCAGCCCGCCCCAGCCTGCCGGCTGCGCCCTCGTGTTAATCAGGAGAAGTTCTCGGTGCCTAATGAATTGCTAGGACGAAGCTGCCAGAACCTCCCGGGAGCTCTGGATCTGGGAGGTGGCCAGGCCCAGAGGTAAAGAAATCAGAGCAACAGCATCGGGCTGGGCGCGTTGGGCACTAGCCCGCTCCGACGAGTTGCTAATGGCAAGATCGTGCTTGCAGCAGCTAGGCTCTGCTTTAACACCATCCGGGCACTGCCTCTCGGCCTACCTTGGTACTCAAGTTTTCTCTTCTCCAGCTCGGCCTCGATCTGGTCTAGCACCATGCCCAGGTCGCCGAGGATTTTCTTCAAGTAGTTCACGTTGTCGTGCTCCAGGATCTTCGCCTGCGGAGAGTGCTGGGTCAGGCTTGATGCCCGGGTGCCCAAGGCTGCGCCGAGGGACCCCCCCGCCACTGAGAGCCGCGTGTTGCTGGGGCCGACTCACCATGAGCTTCTTCTGCTTGGAGAGGTAGGGCTCTGTCAGTTGGGGCTCGTCCTCATGGTCCAGCTTCACGAGCTCCGTGCTGGCGTTGGCCAAGTGTCCTGCGGGCAGATGGAGAGAGGGGCTGGGGCGGCTGCTTCCACCTCCCCCAGGAGACGGAGGCTGCAGCTGGCAGAGCTGAGGGCGACCTGCTACTGCTGGAGGCCAAGCAGTGCCAGGGTGTGCTGACAAGCAGCCGGGGACCTCAAATGGGCCAAACTTCCAACCTGTCCCTGCAGCAAGGGCCAGAGCGCTGCTAATGCTGCGGCCAGCAGCTGCAAACCGCAGTAAAATCATTCCCAAGCAGCATAAGGCGGCGGGCGTGGGGAAGCTGTGAGTGTCCCCCTGCCTAACCAAGCCCAGCCGAGGGGGATCGGCACGTGCAGCCCTGCTGCTCGGCTTGGAAAGGAGAGTTTTTATGCGCTGATCACTTTGCTCCAGCTCGGTTGTTAGCAGCCTCCTACGAGGCCAGGCTCAGCCTTATGGGCTCCAAAGGGATTTCACTCCTTTGTTTCCTCCTCTGGATTGCTGTCTGCACTGCCAGCAGGGCTTTCACGCTCCCTTCTCTCCATCTTTGCTGAGCCTCCCGCCTCCTGGTGCCTGCAGCTTCCTTCCCAGCAGATCAATCCTGGGGCTGAGCTCTTCTCACCAGCTGGCCCATGTGTGTCTGTGCCCACAGGCCGGCCTTGCGGGCACAGGGATGAGCACGGGGTTTATTCCTTACAAAAGCTGGCTCTGACATCCTGCAGCCCCTCTGCAGCAAGGGGAGGCACCCACTCTCCCCGTCTCAGGAGGATGTGCTGGGTTCTCTGCAACCTGGAGCTAGTGGCGAGGGAAAAGAGTAGATGGAAGGGTAAGTACAAGATGCAGAGTAGCACCTTAGGGATGACCTAAATTACTCACCCTGGGCTAACCTCTCCCTGCCAGGCACCATCTGTCCTTCTCTGCTCGCTCCCCCCAGCAAGGCTTGGCACTGGTGTGCGAGCAACCCTTGTGCAGGGGCCGCCAGCTCCGCAGCCAAAACCCACGGAACTCTCCTGTTTCCACAGGAGCATCTCGGCATCCATCGGGAAACGTGCCTGTCATTGTCACCAAGGTTCTCGCTCAGCTGGGCTCGCGGGGGCCTCAGCATCGCTGGCACAGGATGCTGCACGCTGAGCTCGGCTCGTGCACGAGTCCCTCGTTGCAACCGGCTGGGAAAGGAGCCACAACACAGGGAGGCTCCGGGATATTTTTAAGCATCTTGGCAGAGCTCAGAGTAGTGAAGTGAGTCAGGCGGGATGAGGCTGCAGCACCACAGGCAGAGAGGCCGTG